CATACTTTTGTTTATTTGAAATTAGTATGTCATATAGTTCTTAATAATAAAAGCTTTCAATTTTGTGCCACGAAATGCTTGTGTATGTTTGAAATTAATTTGCTACATAATCCTTAACAACAAAATTAGAAACTTTTTTTAGTAAAAAAAAAACTAAATAGCACACAGAACTTTTAAAATGTAGCCAACCTTGAAGTAAAAGTTATATTCCTAAATCAGGTTCGAATCAAGCATGGGATTCCCTTCTAAGAACCGTTTACAAGAATCTTGTCTCATATGGTTCAAACAAAAACACTCAAATATTTCTCATAATAAATACTGTGTAATGAAATGTTTCAATCTTCTTAATGCTAAGACGATCTTTTATATTTATTTATGTTTGAATTTATGTAACTAGTTCATGAGTCTAGAAAACCCATGATTTCAAATACAAGCACAAGTTTGATTTTGTGCTTATCAAATGTTGATGGTTAGATCTTCGACCCTATAATTCTTAAAAGTCGACACCACTGGTGACCATCCACATTGCACAAATGCAAACCAAAGGCTCCCATAAGTATCAACTACAAAGTCTTCAACAAGATGAAATTCAACAGCTAACGTTGCTCTTTAGAAGAGTAGCACTAAGTAAGACATCTCAAAATACGTTCTGTGAATGAAACTGCAGACATATTACAAGCACAACTGATTCATGACAAAGTGGAAGGGTAAGATAAGTTTGAGCCAATGCATCGAAAGCTCTCTGGCCAGCATACCTGGATGAAACTGTGTATCTGATTAGGGCATCGACGGCAAGAAATGTATCGAGTCTCACATCGGATCAGTTAAAAAGTCGTCATCGTCTCCTTCAGCTATATTCTTAGCAAGTTCTTTCTCCTGCTGCCGTCTTTCTCTCCTTTTCTCAGCACTTTCCTTTTCTTTCTGGGAGTTTGATGGAAACCTGAGAGCACGAACTGCATCATTATGCATATTCAGGCAGAATGCAATCCTAGAGTTCAAGGCAATTTGAGGTTCATTGGTAGAGTAGATGTCTCCAGTCTCCTTGGATACCATCCATCCATTTGCATGATCAACTGTGGCGTCGATTGCTCCATCTCGAATGGCCTTGGTGACGATATTCTCAGCATCAGCAATAGGATTTTCAGAGTTCAGTCTCAACTTTTTAGCAACATCAGCCAGAGAAATGCGCGAATATGATAAGCTAATGTTGTGAATCCCAGTTCTAATTACATTATGTCGCAGCCTCACGATCAAGTTGTTGGTCCGATCTGAGCTGAAAGTACAAGAGAACTTCTCGGCAACCGTTTTGAAACGCTCCAAGTCACCAATTCTCACAGCCTGAAAAAATGAGCATCGTTAATAAAAAAAAGAACAGAAGAGACTGGAATCCAGTAGCCCTTATCTCAACTTATTCACAAGGGAGTTCACTATAATAGGTTAAGAAGGGTTTCCTACATCACATTGTTATCAGGAAATGAAGCAATCTTAAAACTTAATGGAAGAAATAACAGGAAAGTGTAAAATTTGACCTACAAAACCTACATTTGTTAGTTCAAAGTATGGCCTCAGAGCTATCTCCATGCCTTTCTGCGTGAAAACAGTCCTCTCAGGGATTTCTCCCAACAACAAACGAACAATGATAGCCCATTTGTTGCATTGCACTCGGAAACCGCGAGCTGCAGTAGGAGCTTTCCGAGCAGCCTGTAGTAGAGATTCCTTTGCATCTGTATATTCCAATTGAATGGTCCTGATCTTGCCAAGGTAAAACAGGTACCTACAGAACTGTATGAGAAATCAATCATTATGTGATATGTAGCTAAAAATTCTTAGCAAAACATCATTACAAATACAAAGTATAATGCCCGGATTCTTTTAATGTTTGGACATTCTGAACAAATGCAATTGTTCTTGAACTTGAAAAGCTTTGTCAAATTAGCAATTTCAAACCTCCTCGTAACAGCCTAAGTCCGCCACTAGCAGATTTTTTCTGTTTTAGCCTGTTACGTATTGCCATCAGCCTCACGGTTTAAAATGCGTTAACTAGGAAGAAGTTTCCAGACCCTTATAGGAATTTTTCGTTCCCCTCTCCAACCAATGTGTGATCTCACAATCCACCCTCCTTGAGGGCCAACGTCCTCGTTGGAACACTGTTTAGTGTCTGTCTCTGATACTATTTGTAACAGCCCAAACCCATCGATATTGTCCGTTTTGGCTTGTTACGTATCGCCGACAATCTCACAGTTTTTAAAATACGTCTACTAAGGAGAGGTTTCCACACCCTTATAAGAATGTTTCGTTTCCTCTCCAACCAATGTGCGATCTCACACTCATCGTCTAAACTATTCAAGGGATAGCCAGGTATTCAGGTAATATCTGTTACAAGCATTTCTGCTAGGAAGAATGCTACATCTCAGGGAAGTTCTTTAGGTCCACAGGTACTACAAATAAAAACAAATGAAAAAAACTAAAGCGCTTAAACTTGCCTGCTGATTTGAGTGAGCTTCAAATCGAGGTGCCTTGGACCTTAACTTCTCTGCTTGATCATAAAGATTGTAGTGCAGGTAATTGAAAAGCAGTAGGTTAAGAAGGGTTTCCTACACGACATTGTTATCAATATATAAGGCACCATAATATGGTCAATGTGATGTACACTAACAGGAAGCGAAGAAAACTACCTGACCCAATTCGTCGCGGCGTAAGGTCGCGGTGCGATGCAGGGCTAGGAGGTTACTGTCAATCAAAGTTGTCCATGTTACCAAATTAATATCAATACATAACAAAGAAAATCATTTGATTTCACATTGATCCTCACTTCTCCTACCAGAATCATTCAAAATTAACTAACATATCTCTAATAAAATCTTAAATTATAAACCTACCCTCTTATTTCAGCAAGGTTACCAGTGAGTTGGTAGCTAAGTGAGTAATAGGAATAGAGTCTAGACGCTAGCACATCAACCGTTCTCCTATTCAGGTTCTTCAGTCGGGCAATGCTTGCTGAAGCACAAGCCACAGCCTGAAAATTTCCAGCAAGCTTTTAGGAGTCATGATCACAGTTTAAGAAAAATGGAAAAAACCTATATAGTTTTGATTAAACATCACCTCATCATATTTCTTCTGATCAATCAGAAATATTAGCACAATCAAATAGCAGAATATCTCAATCTCAGCAGGTAAGGGGAGTTTTGCAGCTGCCGGCGATGCCGAGTCAATTTCCATTTCGCAGTCATCCTCCTATGCAATTGTTGAAAATTTTTTAACACTCAGAACACTAGCACCATGAAACAAAAACTAATTTGATCGTAGTCATACCATCTCAAAGACAGAGAGATCTAGTTATGTGGCATTTTACGCAAGTTTAGCATAGGGAATTGCATAATGCTTTAAATTTTGAATTACCTTCGGAATAAATGACGATAACTTCGTGTGTACGTCGGATCCCGGCGGGAGAGCAAAATTCAGGAATGAAAAAATGACAGATGCCTTCAATCTCCGCCTTAACGCCATAGTCAGACGAATAGCTCGAAAAACTCGCCGGACTTCCCGGGCATAAGCGCCGGCTTCAATGAGCGACACAATCTCTTTCAAATCTGATTGAAAGGAATCGTTAACAAATGTCAAAACCAAGTCTTTTGGAATTCAACAAACCATAACAAAACGCAGATAACATTTCTTACGCTGTAAAGTTGAAGGAGAAGTTGAAGGAGAAGTTGAAGAAGAAACAGAAGCAGGAAGCTCCTTCATCTCAGCGTCTTGCATCATCTTCGCAAATGCTGCATGAAATCCAAGAACTACACAACTGAGCCGACAAAAATTGTAATGGAGAAACAAAAGGAAGAAACTAGATCATCAACAGTGCAAAGAAATCCAGATATTTTGCTGTATGAAGCGATGGGAAATGGAAGAAGGAGGTTGCTAAAGCGATCGGAGATGGAACAAGGAGGTTACCTCCTAAGCAAGACAAGCCACTGAAAGTGAGAAGAAAAGTAATATTATGGTTTTTTTTATATAATTTATTTATAATATTTAAAAGTTGCTAAAAGTACGGCTCAATAATAAAAATATTTATAAATTTATAAATTTAAATATTTAATACACAAAAATAATAATAATTTTTTTATTATCATAAAAACAGTTATTACTTCGATTAAAAAATCTTCTTTAATAGTATTTCAAAAATACCAATAAACTATAAAAAAATTCATTAATACATTTTTTAATTTTTTTTTAATTTTTTTAAAAAAATTTAGAATAAATCACTGTCAGTATTTAAATAATGTCCAGTAGCATTAAAAAAAAATTAAAGATAATAATTTTTTTTTAAAATCTTATAAATTATCTCTAATTAATAATTTTTTTTTAAAATCTTATAAATTATCTCTAATCTTTTAAATGTTATTTTTTTTTTAAGTTGAAGCAGTATATATATTTTTTATTTTTTATAATAAGTTTAAAGGTGTTTTTGAAATTATTTTAAAAAAATTTGGAGTATTAATAAAACTGTTAGAGAAATATTTTGAAACATTTTTAAAAATTAAAGGTTATTTTTTAAATTCTTTAAAAAAAAAATTCAAATGTATTTTTGATTAATATTTTATGTTCAAAATTAAATTAATAATAAGAGTTTTTTTTTATTTTTAATTTATACATATTTTTAGATAAGATGGGAAGAGATGTATTTTTATTAATTTAGTCTTTTAAGAAGAAAAATAATAATATCAATTTTTCCTATAAATTTTTAATTTAATTAAATTAAAGTTAGATATGTAATACAAATTTTATCTTATATTTAATTCATCTACAAATTTGAAGAAAAAGTAGCTTAAAAATAGTTTAAATTTAGATAATTACAACAAATAGAAATTGTCGGTTAAAATTTATTTAAAATTAATATTAAAAAAAGGCAAAATGAGGGGTGAAATGTTAGGCCGTGGATAACTCTAAAAACGACGTGGCTTTGTGACTTAAACTTGAACTGACGGTGTCGTTTTAGCCCGTCTTCCACAGGCCCAACTATACTGCGTGCATTTTCATTGTTCATTCTAAAGGCGCGCTCATTGTAGTTGCAGTCTACGAGAAGCCTGAAATTTTCGAGGTACGCATTTCTTCATGAATCTTCATCCTTATTCGAATTCAGAGTTCAGATTACATTACATGTATGATTCATTGCTTATTTAAATCCCCTTTAGTCGAGGTCCTGTTGCTTTGCCGCCAATGGTTGCTGACCTTGTTGAAGCTCCTGTAGTTTCGTCTTTCAAAATTTCAATTGTTGTGTTTTTCGTGCAATATGCAAGAAATGTTCGATCACGAGAGGATAGTAAGATTGAAAATTCCGGGGCAGAGAATTAGTTTGGATTGTTATTGAAGTTTCTTCCGATACCCCACAATGCACTGGTTGTGTTTGTTAAAATGTCTAGCTGAACTAGTACTCGCTAATCTTCCGTTCTTTCATTTGGGTTGTTTCTACTATAGCGTTTTTGTTCTGCTGTCTTTAATTTTTTTGTTCTTTGGTTGCCGTTCTTGATGCCTTTGGAGCTTAGCTTATTCAATGAAACAATTAAGCTGTTTTATTGAGTTTTGAGCTACTGGGAAGTCTTGTAATTACTCGTATGTATGTATGTATGTATGTTTGTTTCACATTGATTTTGTTAATGGATCAGTAGTAAGCATTTTCTCTTGTTGCAGTGGGCGTTATTGAACTCTTGCTCTAGGATGGTGATCGCTTCTGCACTTGGGGCTAATCATATTGGTTGGTCCTTTTTTCTCTCGGAATATATCTTTATTACTGTGAAAACATTGAGTTTGCTTAATCTTTCTCCCATTTTCTTTTTCTTAAATCTATAGGAATGACTTCTCTTCCTCATTCGAATCGACCATTTCGAGTTCATTACAACACAGCCAGATTCAACAAGGCCAACCTCTTTCAGGGACTGCCCACAAGGGTACGTTCTATTATTTGAGACTTTTGAATTTGATTTCTCTTACAATCTGCTCATTTCAATTCTGCGTTTGTTACTTTAGATTTCCGGAAGGGGTGGACATCTCTATGCTGATCGAATGGGCTTTAACCATGCTGCATCTGGAAGAGATAATCCGCAACTGAGGTTTAATGATGAATTGCCTCCTGAACCCTTCTTCTTGGGTATAATTAAAGAAACCGTTTGGTAATCTTTCACAACTCTTTCTCCCGTCCTTGTGAATTTTGGATCATTATGTCCAGGATTGTTTTGTTTTGAACCACAGGGGATTGAGATCATTATTCATATTTCTGGCCGAGCAGCCCAGTCAACTGAAGTACATTGAGTGGCCTAGCTTCCAAAGCACGGTATGGAGGCGAGATTAGTATGTTAAATAGTGCATTATAGGATATTCTTATATGATGAAATACTTAAGTTATGATGGAAATTCACTGAATACTCTTTCTGAACTTTGGTGTTTATTCTTAATTCATCCAATTTAGTGCGTAAAATTTGCACTTTTTCTCTCTTGTTGGTGCAGCTAAAGACTGCTACATTCGCTCTTGTTCTCGTTGCACTGTTGATTGTAGCACTCTCATCAGTGGATTCGGTGCTCAGCTTCATTTTAACTTTCATTCTCAGAAGGACCTCATAATGAATTCTGGTACTTTTCACTTCTTGTTAAAAATACTCTCAGAAGTTAAACTTTTCTTGGTGTATATTAATGTTGTTGGAGATGTTTACACTAGCGTGTCTATGAAATAATGCCGTAAGGAAAGTATAGAGAATATTGTCTTCCATGATTCTCGCATTTGAATACAATTACGACCGTCCCCATACATAAAATTAGGATTGTCCAAAGTGATTGCCATACACTTCCGTGTAATAAAAGACATAATTTGTCATCCCCTTCCTTTTTTCCCCTGTTGAGTTTCTTGAAGGCTCCTAAACTAGAAGGGTGTTTTATTGAAACTAGGTCATCTCGTCCTTTTCGTTCATCAGTGCTACAGTTTTCTTTCCAAGGAGTATGGGCCACAGGGAACACGTAGCTTAGGGATGTCGAATTCACACTATCTGAACTCCTAAAACGTCTTCAACTCCAATCGAGCTCACCAATAGACACCCTGCATCTCTTCCCCATGATCTCCAACCTTCAGAAAAACACACTTCTAAATACCCATCACATACCCCATTCTGAGTATGAGTATGCCTTCTTTACTCCGTTGTAAATGAGACAGGACCCAACTAAATTGTATTTACATGGCACTTTGTAACGTCCTAAGTCCACCACTATTTGATATTGTCCGATTTGAGTTTTCCCTTTCGGACTTTCCTTCAAGGTTTTTAAAATGCGTCTATTAGGGAGAGGTTTTCACACCCTTATGCTTTGTTCTCCTTCCCAACCGATATGGGATCTCACAATCCATCGTCCTTCAGGGTTCAGCATCCTGGCTGGTACACCACCTCGTGTCCACCCCCTTTGGAGTTCAGTCTCCTCGCTGGCACATCGCCTGATGTCTGGCTCTGATACCATTTGTAACGGCTGAAGTCCACCGCTAGCAGATATTGTCCTCTTTGGGTTTTCCCTGCTAGGCTTTCCCTCAAGGTTTTTAAAATGAGTCTACTAGGAAGACGTTTCCACACCCTTATAAAAAATGTTTCGTTCTCCTCCCCAACCGATATGGGATCTCACGCTCCACCCCCCTTCGGCGCCCAGCATCCTGGCTGGTACACCACCTCGTGTCCACCCCCCTGTAGATCAGTCTCCTCGCCGGCACATCGCCTAATGCCTGGCTCTAATTCCATTTGTAACAACCCAAGCCTACCGTTAGCAAATATTGTCCTCTTTAGATTTTTTTTCCTTTTCAAGCTTCATCTCAAGGTTTTTAAAACGCATCTACTAAGAAGAATTTTCCCCACTCTTATGAATAATGCTTTGTTCTCCTTCTCAACCAATATGAGATCTCACACACTTTAACATATCCAAGAACCGTTACCTGATCAAATTTGTTTGTTAAAGTAGATCTAAAATGGCATTGAAGTCTTTCCTTTCCAATGGACCTGGAAGTTACTGTTTTGCATTGTATCGCCATTACAAGTGCTATTATTATTCAATATGTTCTCTCCAGGAACTGTATTGTGGCTACAGAATCAAACTTCATTTTTGTTGAAACAAAAAATTTTGTGATTACAGGGATTCCTCCAACTTGGCCATATTTTATTGTTAGATCATGACATTAAAATCTCGTAATCATTGATACATACATAGCTTAGTCAATATTCTATGTGAAATATATCAATTTAAACACGAACGATCCATATATGCCTCAAAATAACAATTGATTTATCTTTTGCATAGATTTGTCAAATGAGTAAAGATATTTGTTTCCATCCATATGGTTGAACTAGGATACATTGTACACGATCAACACGAAGTTTCTCTACATACCTAGACTTGTGGTCAAAGCTCATCAATGACCAAGCAATGAAAGATACATCACAACTAACCTACACGATTATAAACATTCATCCTATGTTTGACTACTCTTCGATTATGATGTTTTTTCATTGTGTCAAAACCCTTTAAATCGTCCGTTGTATTACAGTATAGTTATTCAAACTTTTAAACTTTAATATCACGTATGATACATATGGTTTAAATTAAAACACGACACTCGTCAGCAATGTCTCCACCATAAAAATTGCATGAAGAGAGATCGAAGATGCCAAGTTTCAACTTTGAATACTTAGTACGCAATTTTAATGAATCTTAACATTTTCTCTTCCAAGTAATGAAGCCAATTAAACAAATACGACCATTTGACTTTGCCTCTAAATATTTTACTCTCTTCAAATGTATGTGTCGATGCCACTTCCCTCATGATGTATTTTTCTCCCGAGAATAATAGGTTCGAGATTATAATGTATTAACTAGTTAAACTTTGTGACCTAAATATAATTGGTACGTTACCTAATTAAGGGGAATATCGTGGGTATATAAGTAAGAGACGTTGTCTTCATAAATATGAGACTTTTTGGAGAAACTAAAAGCAAAATCACTGGAGATTATGTTCAAAGTAAATGATATCATCCTATTATAGAGAGCCGTTGTTCCTATCAATCTTAACCAAGAGATTAAAAATTCAAATTCTAAAAAAATAATTAGATTATGTTTGACAAATCTTTAAAACGAAACTAAACTTCGAAATATATATATATATAAACACGCTCTTCCAAGATAATACATTCAAAAAATAAATGCTAAATCAAAATTTTAATTATTTATTAAAGTATCTCATTATAAATATTGAAAATTAAAAATTTCCCCCTATTTTTTAATAAAATATATTCTAAATTAAATTATAGCAATTATTTTATTCTCTTTTAAATATATTATTATTCAATATAATTCTTTAAAAATATTTTTTGGATTCCACTTGAAAAACTTTATAATATAATAAATAAAATAAGATACCATATATCGTATATCATTATAAATCACTACTTAAATATATATTATAAGTTTTTTTTAAAAAAATAGAAATATATATTTTAAGTTGATGTAATGTGTGTGGACTGTTTAATGTGTTCATCATTTGACTCATTATTATTATTTTTTTCAGTCTTATTTAATAATTACTGAAAATGTTTTTAGTATAGTTCAATAAATATTGAAAATATTAATATTTTTTTGTTATATTTTAAATTTAAATATAGATATTATATAAATGGTTCTATCAAAAATATTATAATATCATTTGTCTAGTATTATTAATATCTTTTGGTCTTATTTATTAACTATTAAAAACAAATTTAAATAAATAAATAAATAAATATATTTTTAAAAATTAAAGATAGGTATTATATACGAAAATTTCAATATAAATCGTCATTTTCTTAATTAAAAAATAAATTAAACCTTGGATGTGTTCTTATTTCTGCCTCACATTGTATGTCCTTTTCATATTTGACTGTATTTAATTTAATATATTATGGGAAATAAATTTAATAATTTAAAAAATGACACATTTTTCAAACATTTTATTTATTTAATTTTTAATTTTTAATTTTTAAAATAATTAAAAACGTCAAATATTCTTATAAAGTATTTTAAAAATATCTTTAATTTTTTTAAATTTTTTTTAAAATATCTATAATTTTTATTAATTTATATTTAAAATAATAATAAATTTATGTTTGATAGTGTCTTAAGATTTTTAATCATTTTTTTTATTTGTATTGAATAAACTAAAAGTTAAAAAATTTATTGTAATTTTTAAAAAATTAAATAGTTCAATTATTTCAAATATTTAAAAGAATTTTCAAATAAAATTAAGAAAAATAAATTCGAGAATTTCTAGCTCGAGTAAATCAATTATTTTTCATCCATATAGCATATTAATTCACGAACAAAACGTTTTTATTTTTTTTTTGTGGGGGAGTCGGGGAACATTATAAAAGAAAAGTCTTCTATATTTGGTATACCAAACAATATGATACTAATTTTAATGTATATTTGTGGGGTAAGAAAATGATAAATATTTTAACCATAGTATTGTCACACGACATTTAATTATTGTGTAAGACTCATTGGTCCACTTTTGTTGTTGGTTTATATTCTCTCACGTTTCTTTCGAATTAAATTTTAAAAACGTCATAGGAAAAAAAGAATTCAATCTTCAGTAAAAAAAAAATAAAAATATGGATGTCAATATTGATATCAAAACTTTAATTTACAAATATATCGATATTAAATGAATTTTTTTTTTTAAGAAAAATAAATATTTAAAATTTATAAATCAATAATTAAATTCATGTACATTAGACATCGTAACTTTATTTTCCACGTCATCCTTCTCATTCAAATGTGGGTACAATTCATTCATGTAGTTCTCCTTTACTCAGTATCACCGGTAGTTAGCAAAGGGTAAGATTTAACTTCTTTTCATACAAATTTTTTACTTTAACCTTTATAGTAAAATCATCGGCAATTCTTTAGTCAAATATCACCGAATGTAGGAATCTAAGGTGGTCTGAAATTAATGAATCAGAGAACTGACCAACAGTGGCTCGATGACGAGCTAGTCCCTGCAGATTGTACGCTTCTAAATGATTATTTTTTCGTTTAATTCACATTTTTCATGTTAAGTTATTTATGTTCATCTATGAATGATTTGAGATTCTACGTCCATACTAGCTTGTGGGCACCATAGACTAGAGAATAGACTGATTGACTTAGTCTTTAGCTTCTTCACTTGTCTGAAAATTTGATAACCAGGGTTTTTGGAATTAAATTATTAAAAAAAATAGATTGTGATGTCTCATATTGGTTACGGAGGAGAATAAACCACCATTTACATTCTTACATTTATAAGAATGTGAAACCTTCCCCTAGCCGACGCGTTTTAAAGCGTTGAGGGCAAGTCCAAAAGAGAGAGCTCAAAGATGATAATATCTGCTAGCAATAGATATGAGAAGAAAGCCTTGAGGGCAAGCCCGAAAAACTCAAAAGACAATAATGGGTAGCTATGAATTTGTGAGTTATATATATATATTTATATATTTTTTTTTTGAGCCGTGGAGTTGGGACGGCGAGGCGACGTTATTCAAATATGGCTCGCTCAAACGCGTCTGTGTGCTGACTGTTTACTAGGGACCCTCGCTTCGGTAGCCTCAAAGGTTATCTCTTGTCCCTCTTAAACGGGGTCCGCCCGCTTTCCTCCGTCTCCCCCAACCCTCACTCTTCGGCTAGGCCTGCCTTTCCGCCTCCATTTCAGCCACACCCATCTTCCTCTT